ATATATATATATATATATATAAATACACACACACATATATATGTATGTATGTATGTATGTATGTGTGTGTGTGTGTATGTCTTTCGCACCTTTCTTTTTGACTATTGTTTCAATGTGACGAGTGAATTTCTCCACTGTGAGATCAATAAAGTCAATCAATCATCAGACATACATTATACACTTCATTGTAGAACACAACTCCTGAAAATATTTGGGAGGTTTAAAAATGAAAAGTTAATTCTTACCCATCTTGAAATCCATGTGAGGAGTTGTTTTAGTCTGGCTTCCAAGAGAAAATAAAGCTAAAATACCAAATAGTTTTTAATGGAAGAGATTAAAAAGGTACAGTAAGCTAAAAAGTGGTTAAAAAGTAGGATAATTTCTTTACTGACTTCAATTTATAGCTGTTCTTTGTATTGATTTTTGATTTCTTTTTTAAATACCGTGAATTTTATGTTGAATTAAAAGCATCTTAGCATTCAGGTGCTCAATGTCCTTGCTGTTATTGCCTTTTCTTTTTTAATAGACTTTTAGTTCGGTTACACAACCAATGTCCACTGAACAGTAATGAATGTTTATTAATTACAGCCACGCTGATATGTAGAAATACAGCATGAAGTGACAGGTCTATTTCCATTTTGGATTATAATTAGTAGAGGAAGGTTGTCAGCCTAAAGTAGGCGACAGTTGCCCTTCATAAACGCACAGTCGCTGCTCTCCTTGAAGTGAAAAAGTACCTTTAAAGACAAGAGTTCAATGTGAACTTTCTTCACACAGCAGTTGCTGCTGTTGACTAAGCACAACAAAAACTGTTGAAAGTAATAAAAGTTTTAAATCAATACTTTGACAGATATATATTACAGTGTTTTTCTTAATAGAGACAGAAATCATTTAACATTCTCTTTTGTTTGCCCATATGTTTTCCATTTCTCGCGTACAGCCCCGAAATTCAATCTTTGTGTGCAGCCATCCTAAAGAAAATATTTATGGTGCACTGAAAGGAAAAGTCATATTGTGGAGAAATAAATAAATAAAAAAAGCCAAAATGTCAGTCAGCTAACTCTCCTGTTCTCTGTCTCTAATGGTGTGAAGGAATACTCCTATTGAGCATCTTTTTTTTTTTTCTGGACTGGCTGTCAGATGGGGCATTTTCTGCATGTTCATCTGTAAAAGCGGAAATCTTTTTTCTTATGTGGTGAAAGTCAATAATTTTAATTTTCCTCATGGCAAATGACTCCTTGACCCTTTGTGCATAATAGCTATTGATGTGAAAAATATTTTGTCATTGCCAGTCCCTTGGTGTTGCATTGTTGGCCCGCTGGATGTTATGGGTCAATGCATTTGTACTCAGTGAACTTTTACAGATGTCTCCTGCAGTTAATCTGGCATTGATGCTTAACCTTGTTATTTCTGCTCGCCTGAGATAAACTTTCCAGTGAGAGATCCTGTGCACGTAGCAATCCGTGGGTTTGATATGCAAAACATCCACAAGCTCCTAAATCTGGATTGCACACCAAAGAGTTGTGGAAAAGAAAAAATTATTTATTTTGGATGACTTAAAGATGCTTGGTATGCGTGGATAAGTGCTCCCTCCTTGGATGTTCTTGTCTTCGGTTAGTGCACAGAGATTCCTGTCAAACATATTTTAACGTAGAATTTCTTTTCTTCTGTTACCAGAATTATCATGACTGCTTCAGCCGCAGGCATCTATGGTAACTTCGGTCAGGCCAACTACAGTGCTGCCAAGTTAGGCCTGCTGGGGCTGGCTAACACTTTGGCCATCGAGGGACAGAAGTACAACATCCACTGCAACACAATTGCTCCGGTTGCAGGGTCCCGCCTCACAGAGACGGTCATGCCACCAGGTAATCAGAAATAAAGCATCAATATTTGACTGATCAGGTGAAAATGGGTACAAAGGATTTTAAACTACTGCTGTGTTGATAGTCAATTGTTAATAAGGGAGGCGTTCATTTTTAGCAACTATTTTTTTTCCGCCATGATGAAATATAGCTCTTTTAACAAATTTGTGCACTTTTTTAGCTCTGCCTTGAGGTTCTAAAGAAAAATAAACCCAACAAAATTATAATATTAAACAAATTCAGTAAAAAATAATTTTAATAAAATAAAATTCCAATCTGCCTTGTGTAACCTTTTTCTAAGTATTTTTCCTTCCACTTTTTCAATTAATATGCTTAGAAGCAGTTCTCTGAACAGCCTCTTTCCATAGTTATGACATTACCATGGCCACATTTGTAATAAATGATGTTTTATGTGTGAAGTGTTGCCAGATGTCAAAGACAAATCTCCACCTCAGGAAATGGGATGAACAATAAACTTATCTTATCTTATGACCTTGTGTGCCTCACCCTCTATGAGAAGATTGGTGTGATTGTTATGTAGTTTTCTGACCTTCTAAGAAGCAGACTTGTTTCCTTAGCTGATAATTAAAATGGTTAATTGAAATAAATGCTTAAAATAAATCACTTTGATGTTTAATTTTTTACTATTTCATCAAATGTATGTACTACACTTCCTAATTAACTAAAACAGAATTTCTGAAGTTTATAAAATTACCAAAAACACTAAATATTTTACCACTCGGTGAGTTCAAAATGTGACTTTGTGCTGCGTTTTAGCAGAGTGGAGACTTGGCCTGCCTTGTTTGTACATGTCTTTGGTTGGTGGACATGCTCTGTGACTACAGCTATGTTGACGGGGGGAGTATAAACAGCAATGGTTTTGTTGTCGTGCTGGGCTTGTGTGCAGTAGCATGTCACGCTGTGCTGTGCCAACTGTCTCAGGATGGCCTCACCTTGGTAAATGACTTGGTTCCATATGCTCACTGACGCAGGCATTTCTGTAACACAAAGAGCAGAACTCGCCCAGCTACAAACATGGTGAATGCAGCGAGGCAGAAAGCCTCCTTTTTTTGCCACCGGGGTGCAGATATTTTAAGCTCACGTGTATCTCTCTGAATATAATTATTTGGAGCCCACTTTGTTCCTTTTATCCATTATAGAAATTGACAGAAAAAAAATATCTTGATGCATTTTACTTCCTGTGGAGTTAGATTAGATCTGATAGGAGAGGCAGTAATAGTACTATTAAAGCACACTTTTGATGACCATTAGGGGATATGGATGATGTCATAAGACAATGATAACCTAGTTTCTCTCGCTGTCCATCCTGGTTTGTCCTGTCCAAACTATGTAAGGTTGCAGCTGTCTCCTTATGCAGCACTAATGCTTCCTCAAAATTTTTTTTTTGTTTCTTTGGATTTTTGGATTTTGCCTCAGTTATTCATTTATTCTACAAGATTCACCTCTGCCTCCTGGTCTCTGCATCTGAGTCCTCAACTAACCTCCATACAAATCGTGACAAAATGTGTTCTACATTCTGTTTGTCTAACATGTACCTAAATGGATTTAAAAATGTAAAGGGGTAGCAATGAGTTTAGCAATGAGGATCGGTCTGCCAATAACCAAAAATTAACAACAAGTACAGATTGCTGGATTTTTGAAAATTCTTGGCAACCTTATCGTAGCATGAACAGTAGATATGTTCTCATGAATAACCACTTAGAAATAAGCAGCCAGTCTAGCAGACGGTGTGTCTTATTTTCACTTTATTTATATAGCGCCAATTCACAACACACGTCATCTCA